AAACCAAGAAATATTCACTACTCAAACATCAAGAACATGCACAAACGTTCAGATTATTAATGGGTACTTATCAGCTCTATCAGAATTCCAGAAAAGATTTAGCAATGCATGTTGAAAAATAAAGCAAAAACGAAATCTGAATTAACCGTAAACATGATTTTTATTCTCAAAGGAAAGAAATAGTAAAAGTAGAAGTAACAGACCGATAAGGTTCTTTACCAATTCAAAATGTAGAATTCTATGAAAAACTTAAGAACAGAGAAATAAAACCACGAGTTACACTGAAAGTTGGTCTTCTTGAATCCCTTCAAGAGTGGTGTTCTTCCTTGTGCATTCGTCTCCAAGAAAACTAAGAAAACTAAGCGCTCAAAATGAAATCTGAATTACAACTAAAAACTCAGTTCTCTTAAAACGAAACTCTCAACTCTAAAATATGCGTTTTTGCCTCTTTATTAAAAGAGACTTCTGACTTTTCTTCAACCAACATATGTTGTCCCTTAGATCCAAGGAGTATCCAACGGGTGCTATTTTTCCGTCTCATCTCATCTCCCTTCTTTTCTTGCCAAGTGTCCTATTCTGTGGTAAAAAGGTGAAAAATATTAGTGAAAAGTTAAAATTCCTTTTTCTACCCTTTTTTTTTACCACTTGGGCTTACTTCATTAATTTCGGCCCACTTTTACCTGCACTTAGACAAAATCAGCCCAAAAACTATAGGAAATTTACTACTAAACTAAGTAGAAATTAAGACTAACAAAAACCCCTTCGCTCCACAACATGTTCAACTCGTCTATCAGAGATTTGAGATATACAATTATCTTCTTCTTTTTTGGGGTTGGAGGGTCCAAGGATTAAAGTTATAAGGAACAAAAACTCTCTTCTCATGCAGATGGAAGGTGGGAGATTGTATGGAGTCACAATCACAAGCCAACAAGAATAATTTCTACACGTTTACTGGAAAGGAGCAAACTTATCCAAACATAAACCAAGGCGAATATTACAGGATCCGCTGCTAACAAAGGATTTGCCTCATCAAAATGAAGCCAAGGTTCAGCATCAGATGGATGCATCACAAATTTTTCATCCCTATGATACTCTCAGTGCCATCTCATGGGACCAGCTTTTTGTTTCGAAAAATACAATCTCTGAAGCCTAGGCACAAGAGCAAAGTACCACGTCTTGCTTAAACATTGACGAATTGTTTTCCTTCCATTCCTCATATATTTGTACCTGTCTTGTCCATAAAACCTACAGTTGGTGAGATCAGTGTCATCATTGTAATAGAGCATACATCTGTTAGGGCAACAATTAATCTTTTCACATCCAAGCCCAAGCTCCTTCACTTTTTTTTTTTTTTGCTTAGTAAAAATCTTTCGGAAAATTATTGTCCTTGGGAACAACCTGACTCGTGAACTGCATCGATCTGTTGTAAGAATACTCACTCATTTGGTGGTGTTGCTAGGTAGCCAATAGCGTTGCGTGTTCGTTATTTCCAATGTGTATCTTGAAAGAATAATTTTTTTATGAAAGCATAATTTTTTTTAAAAAAAACGTTTCATAACGATTTAAACTTTTTTTATCAAAAATCAAGAGATGTCCTTTTATTTCTTTTTCTTTGCTTTTTGAGATCGTGTCTACTACTCAGATAAAGATTAAAGGAACATTTTTACAGCATTGTTAAAGTGACAATGTGAGGAGACTTTTTCTTTTATATACATAAGGAGGGCTACAAGAAAAAAGGAAAACTAAACAAAGTTAAACATAAAGCTATCTGTGAGTGACACAATGTCCTTGTCCTTGGTTAAAAGACTCTCTAAGCCGCGAGGAGATGCTCTTGAGTAAAATTCTGTGATCTTCCCGTGTGGGATGCTTTGGCAGCTAACCAGTGAGCGTACATGTTTCCTTCCCTTCTTATATGTTGCCATTTGATTTCCTACTCCTTTTGAGCCCATGTAATGATTTCTTGCTCCACCAAAGAACCCTTTCTATTTGACATGCTGAAACTCAACACCTTAAGGGCACGAGTAGAATCTCCTTCTCTAACGATCTTCCTTGCTCCCAGTTCCCATGCTAGCTTTAGTCCCATTAACATGCCTTGGAGTTCTGCCTCTAGGGTTTGGCTAAACCTAAAGGGAACAGTGACCAGACTGCCACGTTTTTGGTAATTTTTTACTAATCTGCCACGCGAATAGTATTTTTTACCAAACTGGCATGCGTTGAAGTTCTCTACGACTAGTAGCGAACTTGGTAGCCAATGATTTCGTTACACGTGGCACACTTTCGCAGGAAAAGTTGACTGCCACATGTCCAAGTTTGCTACGACTAGTAGCGAACTTGGTAGCCAATGATTTCGTGACATGTGACACACTTTCGCATGAAAAGCTAACTAGACGAAGTTTGCTACTAGGGGTAGCGAACTTGGTGTGCTATATGGCATAATCTCGTTGCCCGGTCAGAATTAATGTACCAATAACGTTAAAAAGAAAATGAAGGAAAATGACTATTTAATTAATGTACTAATCAAAATTAATGTACCAATCACCAATCACTTCGAAGGGCCATAACTTTTGATTCGGATATCCAAGTTAGATATTTTTTATTTTATTTCACATAACTTTTCGAGATCTACGCAATAACATCATATTTGACATATTTTATCTCTCACAAACTTCGTTTGAATTTGTAACAAAGGTATCACAAATAATTAATGTACCAATCACCAATCACAATTCATGTACCAATCAAAGTTAATTGTGATTAGTGATTGGTACTTTAATTGTGATTAATACATTAATTAAATAGCCTTTCATTTTCTTTTTTTGATTGTGATTGTTACATTAATCTTGATCGGGCAATGAGATTGTGCCACATAGCGCACCAAGTTCACTACCCCTGGTAGCGAACTTCATCCAGTCAGCTTTTTCTACCGAAATGTGCTACGTGTCACGAAATCATTGGCTACCAAGTTCCCTACCAGTCGTAGCGAACTTGGACACGTGGCAGTCAGCTTTTCCTGCGAAAGTGTGCTACGTGTCAAGAAATCATTGGCTACCAAGTTTGCTATCAGTCGTAGCGAACTTCAACGCGTGGCAGTCTGGTAAATTTTATTATTAGCGTGGCAGTTTGATATATAAATACCAAAAACATAGCACATTGGTCATTGTTCCACTGAAAAGCCTCATTTCCAAGTTCTTTTATCATCTCTTAAGGACTCTTCCACAATTAGGGGTATGCAAAAAAAAATCAAAAAACTGAACTGAATTATGAACTGAACCGAATTGTACTTAAAATTAGCAGTTTGTGAAAACCAATTCATGAACCGAATTGATTTTTAAAGAACCAGTTCAAAAACTGAGTTGGTTTTTAAAAACTAGTTCAAGAACTAAACTGGACCGGTTTCAAACCGAACCAAACCGTTTTATAACTTTATTTCTTTAATTTTTTTTTCTTTTCAAAATAGGTTCGACCCCAACCGGTTTCGAACTGAATCGAACCGTTTTCAAATCAAACCGAGCCGTTTTCAAATCAAACCGAACCATTTAATCCAATTCGGTTCAATTCTTCAAAACATTCAGTGCAATTCAACCCATGCATATCCCTATCCACAACTGGCCACTCTGGTTGTGTGCTCTGATGCTCCATCAAAATTCAGTTTGAGCCACCCCATTTCTGGTGGGGGCCAAGTGTCCAACGGTTAAGGCTTTCAAAGTTATACCTGGTGCAGTGGCGGACACACATAGTTGCTTGTGTCTACACTTGCAGACACAAGTTTGATTTTTTTTTTTTAAAGGGTGGGTGATTTAGGTCAAATAAAAAAAAGATTTAGGAAGATTGAAAAGAAAAAAATAAACATAGACTCAATCATAGTAGTTAAAATCGGGATCTTACCTAAAATCGGAAGATGGATAAAAAATCATAAAACATAAAATCCTAACATAAAAAAATCATAAAATCGTAAAAGTACTTGAAATTTTGATGAAATCGTTTTGATTAAAAAAATCGTAAAATCATATATTTAAATCAGAATTTTAACTAACATGGACCTAACCCAACCAACCTCTATAATTCTTTTCTTTTCTTGTGTATATATTTTTAATACATTTAAAATTTTATTTAAAAAAAAAATCTTTGGAGGCACTGCCCCCGAACGCCCAACTTAAAGGTGCAGACATAAACTTTTTTTTTTTCTGGGTCCGCCACTGACCCGGTGTTATGTGACCTTTGCCTCCTATCCTTCGCTTGTTGGACGTCTGTTATGTAACTTGATATTATTTCACGTGGGCAGTTCGGGACCAAGAAGGTTTCGTCGTGTACTTTTCGATTCCTCCATGTCCAGAGTTGCCAACATGTTATAAGAAAAATGTCCCTCCAGGCTCCATTCCTTGTTGCCCCGAGAGAGAAAACTTCCTTCCGGGTTGTAATGAAACCAGTACTGTTCTTGGTCAGAGTTAAAGAAAAATGTGGCATTCCTTCCTTGTAGCCATTTATCCCAAACTATACGAGCTACTTTGCAGTCACGTAATACGTGTGAGGAGACTTTTAGATTGGGTGTAACTAATTAAATGGATTCATTGAATCGCACAAAATAACGAGAACAATTTCCAACAAATCATACAAAATAGATAAAATATTCACAAAATATGAAGAAAAAAAATAGTTTTTTTAAAAAGTATAATAGTTGATTATTTAGCAGGATGAATTGCCTAATTATATTTTATTTTAACTAATTTAATTAGTTTTAATTGATTTTGACTAGATTCAACGGATTCCTTCAGTTCAGTAAATAAAAGGGTTTGATATTTTTTTCGGTAAATAAAATTATTTTTTATATATATATAAAGATATACTAGACTCGTAAAAATATATATAAATATATATATATATATATATATATATATATATATATATATATATGAACTTATATAATTTTTTTTGTACGTGCAGAAAATAATAGTATTATATTACGATATTAAACTCTACATGAAATGGTACTTTACGTAGACAAGTAGACAACAAAACAGAGAGCAAAGCACCGAAATGAGTGTGCGTGCCGCGGTGCCGAGCAAATCGCAATTGGGGGATCCAAATTCCAATGACCAGAGTCAAGTTTGTCACTTATTTCCAAGCATTATAGCTCTTAGGTTAGCTTTATTCACTTTAGCATTTGGTAGTTACTTACCTTTTTAACGTTTGCTTGTCTCGTCTAACTGTTCGATGAAATTCCCCAGTTAACTCTGTTCTTTTGTTTGTACCTTAACCTTATTACCCGTCATCCATAAATTATAAAACAAAAATTGGGACAAAGGTACAAACATTCTTCTCTATTGTTTATATATGATTCTTCTCATTCAACCATGTTGTCCTCTTTGTTTCTTACAATCTTTTAAAAATAGAAATAACATAAGCATATATGATTTGAGTGCTAAGGAAATATATATATATATATATATATTGCTTTACAGAGGAGAATCTTCAAGTCCAAGTTGAGTGAAGTGAGGACTTTGAAGGGCCTCTTGGAGCAGGTCATCATCATCCCACGAATCTCTATATGTCTCCAAGTTGACATCAGCGTTAATTATGGCAGACAAGCACAGCTCTTTTCTCCATTCTTCTAAACGTGGGAATCCTACATTCTCTCCATATTTGTCACAGTACTGCAATGCAACAAAACCATGCTCAAATTGGTCACCAAGATTCCAATTTTCACCCTTTTATTTTATCACTTTAAGGGCATGCATGCTTACCTTTATGCACTTCTTTTTCTTTTTCTTCTCTCTTTAACTTAAGGAGTAGCGGTAATATAAATTCAGATTCTTGATGAACCTTGGATGTTACAACATATTTACCATTTAAAACATAATTTGAAAAATTCATAGGTGAATATGTTGTCATTATTACGATTATAACATTAAACTAGGTGGGTAATAGTGTATATTTATTTTTTTTACCTCAAAGTTTGCAATTTCATGGGTACAGTACTTAGGAATGCCTGCTACTTCTCTTGAATGATAGAACTCCTTGATGGATTTCATCATTTCCTCCCATGATGGCAGTGTTTTTTTCCCAGAAACTAGCTGAGCTATCCATATTGCTTGGGACTCAAAGAAAGGGAATCCTATGATCTGCACACACTCATCAATCAAGAATTCTACTTTTATATTAGTAGCAGACATTGGTGAAATATATACCACCATTGCAAGTAAAAGTATGTATGTTTGTGTGAAAAAAAAGGTGTGACCCGGAATGAATTCTAATTACTGATTTAGGGTAGTATACCTTTCTAGGGATGCCTATAAAAGAAAGGGATGGAGCAAGTGATGGGGGGAAAGTGTGCTCATACAAAGGGCCCACTCTGTCATCATCCACAACAACCATTCCTTTGGTGTCAAGAAAGGGGAACGCATAGGAGTACCTATACATAACAAATTGAAGTTGAAACCCATCAATTATTAGAATACACAACTAATTAACACTAGAAGGAAACATGGGGACATGTTTGGACATAGGCCCCACACTGAAATCTCCAAGCCAAAGATCATAATTATTCAATCATAATATCTTTTCGACCTTAAGTTAATGAAATTTAGAAGATTGATTTTGCTCTTTGATTAAGTGTACGATTCATGATAGAGACTGTGTGTTTAAATCAATCTTTTGACATCTTGTTTTTCTGGTGATATGGGATGTTACCCTGTGCAGTACAAAATAGAGTCTGCAAGAATGCAAGAACCATCCACGAAAGTGACCCGCCCATCCTCTTGAAGGGTGTCTATCTGCACAAGGTACCACATGTTATGAAGCTAGCAAAAATAGTAGAACCAAGTATCTTTTGTTTTTCTTGGGATTGGAACATAAATACTAAAAGGTGATACCTGTGGATGAAGATGAAAGTTCTCGTGTTTGGATATGATTTTAGTTAAACCCTCAGAAATCTTAAGAGATCTGGAACTCATATGGACTTCCTTCGCTTCTTCCACAAGCTCTATTGATATATCTTGCCCACTTAAGGAATTTCCAACCACCACCACAATCTGTTGAATGAAAACTTATCTCAATTAAATTTGAAGTGCTTATTTAGAGCAAAAGGTGGGGGGGGGGGGGGGGGGGGGGGGGGGGGGATTTTTACAGTATTTCCCACTGTTTAGCTAATGCATATGTGCTTGTTTCTCAACCTTTTACAGAACTTATATTGTCTTCTACTATATATAAATTTGATACTCTTTTGAATTGATTTATTTATTTATTTTTTTCAAAAAAAGATATTACATAGGTCATATACCTCATTGCGGAATGGTTCTGGGGACCTGTAAATGTGACTATGCATTTGATTTCTTTTCCATGTATCCATTCCTGAGCATCACAAAGACAGGAAAAAAATATTATAACGAATGAGCTTGGAATGTATAATTATATACATAATCATATTCTTGTCTCGCATTAAATAAATGGATGAGCAGAGTGAAGGGGCATGAACTCACTTTTCCCTTTCAGAATGCTATTGTGTCTGTGTGTGAGTAAGAGATAGAGATCCAGAGATTATTCGACATTCACCTACCTTTAATGGAGGGTAATCTTGGTTGAGAGTAATGACCAGTGGCCACAACCACTGCATCAAACACCTCTTCCACCATCTTATCACTTTTCTTCTCTATGCTTCTAACAACCCATTTCAAATCATTACTACGGACACCATAATCTAACATTCCCACATAAACCACCTTTGTATTGAACCTTATTATCTCTCTCAACCCAAACCATTCAACAAAATCCTTTAGGTACAGAAGTAGCTCTGTATGGCTAGGAAATCTCCTCGTGTCTCTACCTTTCTTGACCAAAAATGGAAAATCAGAAAACCCCATGATCTCTCGCGGAGATGTGAGCCTTAAAGATTCGTAGATACTGCTATGCACCTTTAGAAAAGAGTTTCTTCCTAAAGGATCCTCCCCTTCTACATTTGGTTCATATAGCCATTGGCCTCCAACATCATGATTCTGCTCTAGCACAACCACCTCATGACCTTCTTTTCTTAATTCCCTCGCTGCCACAAGCCCTGATGGTCCAGCTCCGATTACACACACACTCTTGGATTGGTTTGTCTCAGAAACCATGGTGACTGGACCAAGAAGCTAGATAGTGTGGCAGAAAGGTAAGAGACACAGGTAATATTTATGAGAATGCAAAAGCAAGAGGGTTTCGAAGGTGGGGAAATATGTTGGAGCTAATGGGGGGCTTTTATTGTTGAATATGTTTCACGTAGGCAAAGGGAAACCATAATTTGCGGGATAGTGATGGTATGCTGTCTGGGAGACACACGTGACCGTGTAAAATCAATGCTGTGAAATCTGTCTACTTTCAAGTTTGGACTTCAATAATACCCCACCTGGACTCTTTTATCTTTACGTTGAATGCTTTTCACAGCTCTACCATATTAATCAACTCGCAAACCATTTGATTAAAGTTTAAGTTATTGCCATTATTAGTCTTCACTGCTTTACTTTTCTCTTTTCCTTTTGTATGGACCAAGGTTCTGGTCCGCATTGCATGTGCATGTATTTGGAACCCCATCTAATGGTCTTCCATTCACACCACTTAACCATTAGGACACACAAATTTAAATATTCCAAATCACCATTTATTTATTTTTAGTCCGTAAATTTGCCTCAGTTATCTATTCTTAAAATATCCGGTCATCTAACTGTGGATGAGAGCCAGCATGATCAGAACGAATGGTGGAGGGGACGTTTATTGTGCCCCTCATGCACGTATGGTACATTTTTTCTTTATTTTGTAGGACGGGAACTTTGTTGTGGGGGCTTAACTTTTTCTTTCTTTTTTTTCAATATTATTTATGATAGTTGGTTGTATTTTGTCAATCTAATCTTTGTATTCACATATATAACAAGTGATTTTCGAGAAAAATAGACTCAAGACTCTATATAGCTATCTGTAAAAGTAATAATAAATATAGAAGTTTCTTTATCTTTTCGAGAATACATGTTGAAGTATGAAAATAAATAAATGAATTCTTAGAATTGTGAGAATTTAATTTGAAAAATAAGAAATACAACAAAATTCATATTAGATTAAAAATAATGTGCTTAATTTTCTAGATTATAAAGAAGAAAAAGTTGAATATAATTGAGAATATCAAGCTGTAGTTGAATGAATGATAAATTGTACAATTACTATTGAAAGGATATTCATTGATTAAGAACATTGCAATATCAATGTTTTTTCTATGTACCCACAGAATTTGCTTAAAGTGCTAAACAAGGGCTCATAACTTTAAAGCCTACATGGGCTATGGCTTGGCTGTTGGAGCCCCACGACCACACTAGGTATGCTTCACCTTGAAGCTAAGAAAATATAATCATAAAACAGTAACCATCTTAATTCTTTAGTTTTTCAATACATCACTGATTGTTTTATTTGAATTCATATGATATGAGGGAATAACGAGAAAATAAGTCTCATATAATATAAGGAATCGAATGAAAGTTTAAAAAAATTTATTATTTCTTTTTCCAATGCCAAATATGTAATGCTTTGAGTAGATTGTAAGGTATACCTGTTCTTCATCTATGTTGTCTTTGGGTGAAGTTAAAGTATAGCCGTCCAGTTTTAATTTTTTTCTGTTTATATAATTAGGGGAAATGATAGGCTGCTAATAGCGAATACACATAGTACTTAAGTGGTTAGAATCAAGATAATCATTTCAGGGAAATGAATAAGGAGCTCTAACGTTTTTCAGCGTTCTATTTCTTTAACATTTTCCCTCATATTGCATAAGTTAGGTATGCATGCTTCAATTGTGTGATTATGTAATGGGCAACCATATCTAGTTTTTCATTTATGTTTTTGGGTGTAGTTAAAGTATAGCCGTCCAGTTTTTTTTGTTTATTTTATCTTTTTATGTAATCAGGGAAAATGATAGGCTGCTAATAACTCATACTCATAGTACTGAAGTGGTTAGAATCAAGATAATCAGCGAACGGAAAGTTAGCTAAGGATTTGGTCCATATTCCACAGGAGCGTGGGTTTAAATCCTGTTGGCAGATGTGAAACTTTGTTGGAGGGTGATATGTAATTCTTCTCGAAAATCTTCAAAAAGGTTGGGGAGTCTTCATTTTTCCTGATGGAATATCGGTATCTAACCCCATTTAAACTTTTAGTTAAAAAAAAATCAAGATAATCATTTCAAAGAAATAAATTTGCAGTGTTCTATTTCTGTAACATTTGCCTTTATATTGAATAAGTTAGGTATCCATTCTCTAATTGTGTGATTATGCAATAGGCCAACATTGCCTTCGCAAACAAATAAATGTAAGTTAACCATTGAGGATTTAGTTTATTGCTACGGATTTTGTAACTACCATTTATCACGTTTTATTTATTAATTTTTTTTTTTAAATTTTACAAATTAAAATTAATTTCTTTTATATCATGGTCTACATAATTTAATTATTGATATGAATATTAACTGGATCAGATAATTCTCATTCTTCTGTTTCTATTTTTTTTATGCATTGCTATTGTTTGGCACTTTGGCTGGTAATTAAACTCTTTTAGAATTACATCAAACGTGCCATGACATTTTTGCTACTAAACTCACTCTGATACCTCTGTTAATTTCTATGGAAAAGGAAAAAAAGAGTTTTATTGCGTTGCTTTCTTTCCACTGTTATATTGTATAACTTCCAAGGTTTGTGACCAGTTTTGGATTGCTGAATATTGGAAAAATCACCGTGTAGATTTAAGAATATAAATTTTCTTAAGAAACATGAGAAAAAGGTAATCAGAAGCAATGTGCAATATTATCATTTGTTACTACTATTATTATTTTTCTTGTGATGGTTACATTTATAAATTTTTTTTATTTATAATTTTTATAATCTTAATTATGTATTTTGAGGAATATAAATATTTGAAAATGAATTTCCCAAAATATATAATTGAAGTTATAAGAATTATAAATAAAAAATTTACGAACGTATCCTGCCCCATTTTTTCTTTATGCGCTTCAAGTAAGTATTTAGCGAGAAGCTTTAACTTCATTTATTACCCTCCTAGAGCAGGTTGGTGGAACCTACTAACACCTGTGAGAAGCAGGCAACAATTTTATGACACTGTCTCAGATCTTGAAATATTCATCATTGATCCTCTGGAATTTATCAGTGCTTTCATTACCTTACATTTATCACAGTACTGGTCTGCACCATTTACCTTGATATATTCAAATAGACAATATCAATTTATTTTGGTGTATTTGTTATCTCATTTACAACAACTCAATCCAATAACAAGATAGTAAACTTCATAATATGTTCTATCATAACTCATAATCCTTGACCAAAAAGAAAAGGACAAAATCATAACTTATAATCTGGTTGAGCAATCTAAATTGAAGTTTTGATGTGTACTTTTTTCTCTTTCACTACCCCAAAATCATAGTAGGTAGGGAATTAAATTTCATTTTGTTAGAAAATGATAGAAATTAGCACATATGTTATATTTAGAGACATAATTCATCATAACTTGAAGGTTCTCTAATGTGTTGATGGAAAATGTATTTAATTAAACTACAAACTATCTGTATGATGTAGTTTGGAGAAGACTTGATTTGCTCTGTAGTTTGAAAACTACTCCTCATCCTTTCTAATGATTAGTCACATATTGTTATTGAGTGACAGTTCTCTCTACTACAAATATCTTCAAAAGTAAGATTCGTTGAATTGAAGTGTCCCCTGTAATTGCAATTCTACACAGCTGTATTGAAATAAAATCAAAATTTTCCTTCAAGTGGAAAATTCTGATTTGACAAGCATCATAGTTATTCAGCAATTTACCTGGTTGGTCATATAGGAGAGAATTTATTGTGGTCCGGGATCACTATTTTTTAGGTGATCCTTTAGTGTAAATGGAAAGGTAAAATTAGAAGAAAAAAAAAAACAATAGAGATAAAAAAGGAAAGAAAAAATTAATGTTGCGAAAGAAAGCACCAAATAATTGAGTGATCCTGAAACATATTAAATATTTCCGTCATATAGACTAGGAATCCAATAACATCAAATATATAATCTGACTCTTTGTCATCTATGATTGAAGTGTCATTATGCGAATTACCCTTTTGGAAACAGTTAAAACAGGTTAATTGCAGCTGCATGCACAATCATACAAGTTGTAATTGCTGTAAATACACTGCTACTTTAAGAATGCTTTGAAGCAATAAAAATACACATTCTTCCCTTTACGCTTTGTACAATCCTATTGAAAGGGAAATACGCTTCTTATCTTTGATCAAAATGTATAACCACCTGACGTAGGAAAAAAGCTACAAACCTAGATTTTAGCCATAGGGTAAGAATAATTTGCTTACATAAATAGTGCTTTCTAATACGAAACAGTGACCAAAATGTCACTCTTTGTCAAAAAAATTATCTAAATATCACACGAACAATACTTTTTACCAGACTCTCACGTGTCATAATTCGCTACGACTAGTAGCAAATTACGTTCACCAATGATTTTGTGACACGTGGCACACTTTCACAGAAAAAAAAACTGACATGTCATAATTTGCTACCAATGGTAGCGAATTTGGTTTGCAATATGGCCACATGTCACGAAATCATTGGCGAACGTAATTCGCTACCAGTCGTAGCAAATTATGACACGTGACAGTCTGGTAAAAAGTATTGTTCAAGTGACATTTGAATAAAAAATTTATCAAAAAGTGACACTTTAATCACTGTTCCTTCTAATACCCATGGTATTATGATTTTTAAACTTCATGGAATTAATAAAAAATTTATATTATGTTTTGATCATTAACTAATTATTTTTAAAATGTTAATGTGTAGGTCTATCACTTAAGGAGTTATTTGACTTGGTCTTATGAGTTTCTTTATTAATATCCTCAGACTAAAATGAGAAAGACCACGATCCGGCTAGCTGATCAATCACTATAAGAGATGAGAATTTGAATATCAACTTGAGAATAGTTGATCAAGAAGACTAATACTTGTCTCAAATCCAAAGGATAGCAACATTCTGTTAGCATCAATATATCTATATATTTATTTTATTACTTTATGTTATTTTATATCTTTTTGGGCTGTTTAATTAGTGATGTTGCATGTAAATTAGGCCCAAAAGAGTTTAAGTTATGGCCCAAGTAAAAAGAGAAGGTAAAAATTAAAAGAGAAGTATTTGGCTTGTTTCTTACATGTTTTATTGTATTTTTTTACTTTCAGCTCACATGAAAAGCACAGAAGGCACGTGGGACAAATAAAGGAACAACTCATAACCATTGGATGAAAGGGAGATGGACGGCTGCTGATGAAAGGAATCTCTTAGCTTTTAGATTAACTTTCGTGTGGTTTGTAAAAGAATAGAATAGAATATAATAGAGATCAGATTTTTACTAAACTTGCCGTAGCAACTAAACTTGTGTTGAGAGTCATTGTTGAACCTAAGCTTTAACACTTGAACTAAACTTAGCTTCTTGAACCTCATTGTTGATTCTGGAAAGTTTTAACTAAACTTGCCGTAGCAACTCAGAAACTGAGATAAACTCGTTGTAGCACTGTACGAATTAGCAGTTTGCAATATTTTTGTCATCCATGATTTGAGATATACCCATAAACCTTTTTATATTGATAATCATTTCTTTGCCGTAGCAACTAAACTTGTGTTGAGAGTCATTGTTGAACCTAAGCTTTAACACTTGAACTAAACTTAGCTTCTTGAACCTCATTGTTGATTCTGGAAAGTTTTAACTAAACTTGCCGTAGCAACTCAGAAACTGAGATAAACTCGTTGTAGCACTGTACGAATTAGCAGTTTGCAATATTTTTGTCATCCATGATTTGAGATATACCCATAAACCTTTTTATATTGATAATCATTTCTTTACTTTTTAGTTCAATTCTAATGCATGATAAAAACTATACAAAACTTTCTTATTCTAAAAAAACCAATTAAATTTCAATTACAGAATTTTTAATTCAGAAAAATAAATAGAAAATACTTCATACCGTTCCCTGAGAACGATAACTCTTTCTTTTGAAATTTACTAACCAACAAAATGGCGCCGTTGCCGGGGAATGGTGTTTGATTTTATTTTCTTTTTGTGATTTTTTTTTCTTTCTTTTTCCTTTTTACATATTTTTCTTGTTATCAACTGACTCCAATTTCAAGTTCTTGAGAGATTTCTGCAGAATTCAATTCTGATTACAGTAACAAGCAGTATTACACATTTGTTGCTGAATTCTTGAAGATGGCAGAATCAAACCATGGATCTGTTAATGGAGAAAATATCAATGGCAATGGGAATGACAACCGTGCTCTAGTTATGGTGGATGAGGAGCTTCCCATTGCTGAATATGCTATTCTATCACTAGATGGAGTAATTCCTGGTATAGTCCAGCCTGGAGTGGAGGGAAATTTTGATCTCAAACCGGGAATGATACAGCTGCTGTAATATGTGACTCAAGACCATGGATTACCGAAGGAAGACCCCCACAAGCATATCACGAAATTCATGAAAATTTCTGATACCTTTTCTGTTCATGGAGTGTCCACAAATGCTATGAGAATGAGGCTTGTTCCCTTCTCTCTAGCTGGGGCAGTAGAAGAATGGGGCACAGTCCATCACCACGTGGAAGGAGCTTGGAGAAGCCTTCTGATACAAAATTATAGGGAAAATAGGCTTTCAGGAAAATGCAGAAGTTTTCTGCTATACTATTATTCTTTTAACAATCAAAAGTCGTCTCTCACATCCTCCTAACCAGCCTTTTAAAGGCAATACAAAAAGTAACTGACAACAAAGGACCATCAATGGTCTTAAAAACTGATACAAAACAGAAATAACCATAAACAAAACATAAAGTCATGCAAACTGAAACGTCTGCAATTATTAAAATCCATAAAAAGCTTTAAAACTGAAACGTCTGCAATTATAATAATTTATGGCGACTTAAGTGCATCATCCTTTCCCACTAGAAAAAGATTCGCCCTCGAATCTGCAACGTCTTCAGGTGGTAATCCAGGCGGCAACTCTTCTGGTACAATATCAGCAAATTTCCTAATTAAGATTAGGACTTGGAAATGCAATTTTTTGACATGCTTGGTATATTCATTTGTAGTTTGGATCAATGATCGCATCTGTGATCCGTCATAGGAAAACTTTGTCTGATGTACCAGCAAGTCCCATTGCCCTTGACAATCTCCAATTAAACTTTTACCAAATGCTAAATCTTTATCTCCATGGAGCATAAGGTTGTTATGCTCGTTGTCCCCAAATTCATAATACTTCTTGCAAACTAAAGACTTCT